TATTTAATAAATGTATGGAAGAGGGTAAGGTACCTAGGGATTGGCAGAGAGCATGCATAGTTCCTTTGTATAAAGGCAAAGGGGATAAAAGAGAGTGCAAAAATTATAGGGGGATAAGTCTGTTGAGTGTACCTGGTAAAGTGTATGGTAGAGTTATAATTGAAAGAATTAAGAGTAAGACGGAGAATAGGATAGCAGATGAACAAGGAGGCTTTAGGAAAGGTAGGGGGTGTGTGGACCAGGTGTTTACAGTGAAACATATAAGTGAACAGTATTTAGATAAGGCTAAAGAGGTCTTTGTGGCATTTATGGATTTGGAAAAGGCGTATGACAGGGTGGATAGGTGGGCAATGTGGCAGATGTTGCAAGTGTATGGTGTAGGAGGTAGGTTACTGAAAGCAGTGAAGAGTTTTTACGAGGATAGTGAGGCTCAAGTTAGAGTATGTAGGAAAGAGGGAAATTTTTTCCCAGTAAAAGTAGGCCTTAGACAAGGATGTGTGATGTCACCGTGGTTGTTTAATATATTTATAGATGGGGTTGTAAGAGAAGTAAATGCGAGGGTCTTGGCAAGAGGCGTGGAGTTAAAAGATAAAGAATCACACACAAAGTGGGAGTTGTCACAGCTGCTCTTTGCTGATGACACTGTGCTCTTGGGAGATTCTGAAGAGAAGTGCAGAGATTGGTGGATGAATTTGGTAGGGTGTGCAAAAAAAGAAAATTAAAGGTGAATACAGGAAAGAGTAAGGTTATGAGGATAACAAAAGGATTAGGTGATGAAAGATTGAATATCAGATTGGAGGGAGAGAGTATGGAGGAGGTGAACGTATTCAGATATTTGGGAGTGGACGTGTCAGCGGATGGGTCTATGAAAGATGAGGTGAATCATAGAATTGATGAGGGAAAAAGAGTGAGTGGTGCACTTAGGAGTCTGTGGAGACAAAGAACTTTGTCCTTGGAGGCAAAGAGGGGAATGTATGAGAGTATAGTTTTACCAAAGCTCTTATATGGGTGTGGAAGCGTGGGTGATGAATGTTGCAGCGAGGAGAAGGCTGGAGGCAGTGGAGATTCATGTCTGAGGGCAATGTGTGGTGTGAATATAATGCAGAGAATTCGTAGTTTGGAAGTTAGGAGGAGGTGCGGGATTACCAAAACTGTTGTCCAGAGGGCTGAGGAAGGGTTGTTGAGGTGGTTCGGACATGTAGAGAGAATGGAGCGAAACAGAATGACTTCAAGAGTGTATCAGTCTGTAGTGGAAGGAAGGCGGGGTAGGGGTCGGCCTAGGAAGGGTTGGAGGGAGGGGTAAGGAGGTTTTGTGTGCGAGGGGCTTGGACTTCCAGCAGGCATGCGTGAGCGTGTTTGATAGGAGTGAATGGAGACAAATGGTTTTTAATACTTGACGTGCTGTTGGAGTGTGAGCAAAGTAACATTTATGAAGGGATTCAGGGAAACCGGCAGGCCGGACTTGAGTCCTGGAGATGGGAAGTACAGTGCCTGCACTCTGAAGGAGGGGTGTTAATGTTGCAGTTTAAAAACTGTAGTGTAAAGCACCCTTCTGGCAAGACAGTGATGGAGTGAATGATGGTGAAAGTTTTTCCTTTTCGGGCCACCCTGCCTTGGTGGGAATCGGCCGGTGTGATAATAAAAAATAAATAAAATAATATCTGCATTTTATGTCGGCCATTAGGGGGCTTACCTTTCGACCTTAGACCTTGTTTTTCCTTATGCCTCTGCTCACTATACTTATCACTATCCCCTTTTCTAGCCTCACCTTTACCCTGCCCCTTCCCCCCACTACTACCACCAATGGTTTTTTACCCGGTTTCTGGGCCGGTGTTAAGACATCATCACTGTCAGATGTACCAGCCTCTCTCCTACGAGATTCACCTGTCATTAGCATGTCCTCATCGACACCCTCCTCCTTGTGCATCTCAACCTCCGTCTCACATACCCTCAGTGACATCTCTTGCCTGCTACCCTCGTTACCTGCTTCACATATTCTGCCATTCACAGATTCTCCATCTTTTACATTATGCCGACTTCCTTGCTCAGTATGGTCATCCTGTAAGACTTGTAATACAGAATTTATTGCATGCAACACACTGGTACCCAGTTCCTCTGAACCTGCCTCGTCCTCCATTCTCATGACCTTAATGACCTGTGTAACCTCCGGTAAAGTTACACACTCCTCTAAATGACCCTCCACCATATCACTCCATGTCTTTCGAGCCTCAGAATTCTGTCCTGGAGTCTGATTCATCACCTTATTATCCTTCTCCACTCCCATCACTGCACCACGATTCTCAGGTACTGATTGTTTAGGGCACTGCACAGTCTACATGTACGTCTCTGTCTCGCATATGTAACACATATCTGCGTCCTGAAATCACTCAACACCACGTAGGATGGTATGGATCTTCGCAGAGTCATCTTAAGGGTAAAAGTGCCCTTACGTATGCCAGCATACATACCCTCATTCCATCGTCCCATTGTTGCTAGATGTATAACGCCATACACTTCGAACACCGCTTGTATATCCTCCTCATCCGCCTCAAAAGGCACATTCCTTAACTTTATCCAAGTGTAGTACTTGGATACATCCCACATCCATACCTCCAAACTTGAATTAACAATCTTGCACACCTCCTGGTACTTCTCCACCATCTTGTCGTAGATCGCCACCGTCACAAACTTCACAAAAATCCTCGTTGAGCCATTCAGTGCAACACCATACAGGTCTTCATTGTTGATTCCATAGGTGTCGCGCAAGATGGCAAGCAACAGAATCGATGCATTCGAGTTATGCACTAAACCTTTCAAGACCTCAACGCAAACAGTGTTGATTCTCCTGCTTGTGGCTTGTGCCATCTTGCGAAAATCACTCAGAGCTACCAACTGGTGCGAGGCTGTTGCTGACGTCCGACCTCCACCAAGGGTGATCGACAAATGCGATTTCAACTTCATCCAAACTGACTGGAGCAATTTGACAATAAACCAAAAATCTATCAACTTTACAGAAATAGTCCAGGGCTGCATTTTAAAATGGGTTTTGATAGAACCATCTATTTGAAATAACCCATTTGACTTAGTTCTGGCAAACAAGAACTCGCTGATAAATAAACTTGTGTGTAATGAGGAACTTGTAAAAAGTGATCACAAATCCTATAGTTTCAAAATCTCATGCAATTGTCCTAATAATAACAACACTGCAAAAGTAACTGACTGTTGGGCTGTGGGATTAACTGGGTAGTATAGACCGGAGAAACCTGATGAGGATTATAGTGAAATCTGATGGGCGGTGAAGATAGCTGTCAATATGAAACCTAAATTATTATATTATCTGCCCAAATTGCAAATGATAAAAAAAACTAAAAGAGATAATTACAGGCAAATCCAAATAGGAGAGAGAAACTTTCTGGATCACTGTATTCAATTTAAGAGAGAAATCTTTAAAAGGAATAAGAAAAATTAAAAGCAAATATATTAAAGTTGTAAGGGAATCAAAGATAAACTTACAAGGTTTGTTTTATAGAGGAATGAGTTAGGCAAAACATTGTCCCTCATGAATATAACGCAGGTGAGTTTATTTACTGTGATAAAAACTGAGTACTGCTGCTGGGGTTCACTTTGTATCTTGAGGATACAAAGTAAACCCCAGAAATCAATAATTTTATTGGTCAGGACGAAAATGAATTATGCATGAATAAAGTCAATAATGGAAGGGCCTCGGGCAAGTAGATAAATTAAAACATATCACTTGGCCCATAACAACTCTTCTGAAGAGTTCTAATGAAATGTTAGGGAGAACTTGGCATGATCTTAGCTAATCACTTCAAAAATCTCTGCATTCTGTATCTCAGTTGGATATTTTAGATAACCACCATAACACAAGGTATCTTAGCAGCGTAAAGAGACTGCGCAGTCCCGAAACATACAGTTATATTGTACCGTTTTGCATAGTGGAATAATCTGTGTAAGCAGGTCACTTCAAGATACGACAGTGCAGTGTACAGCTGTCTACACATACTGGTAAGTGTTATACAGTAATATTAAGTATACACCTGTGTAAGTTTTTACACCGTCCAGTCGGGATTCTCTCTCCACTGGAGCTCAGGGTCATTCCAGGGTCACTAACATACCATTCGAAGGGTTTACCTGGAGTTTATCTGGAGAGGGTTTAGGGGGTCAATGCCTCCGCGGCTCGGTCTGAGAGCAGGCCTCGTGGTGGATCAAGGTCTGATCAACCAAGCTGTTACTGCTGGCCGTAAGCAAACTGACATATGAACCATAGCCCGGTTGGTCAGGTATTGACTTTAGGTACCTACCCAGTCCTTCTTGAAGACAGCCAGGGGTCTATGTATGCTGGGAGGCAGTTGAACAGTCTTGGGTCCTGAACACTTCATGTGTTCTCTCTCAGTGTACTGGTGGCACGCCTGCTTTTCATCGGGGGAATGTTGCATCTCCTGCCGAGTCTTTTGCTTTCATAGGGAGTGATTTTCGTGTGCAATTTTGGTACAGTTGGTAACAGATTATACTTAAGGCTACTTTAACAACACCTGATAATACTACACACACACAAATAACTCGCACATAGAAGAGAGGAGCTTACGACGACGTTTCGGTCCGACTTGGACCATTTACAAAGTCACACGGTATTGTGCCTTTTTTTGTTATTGTAACACAATATCAACCACAGCTATTCGCTGGCACTGGACCAGTACCTAAAGTCAGTTCCGGATCAGCCGGGCTGTGGCTCGTACGTTGGTTTGCGTGCAGCCAGCAGCAACAGCCTAGTAGATCAGGCTCTGATCCACCAGGAGGCCTGGTCACAGACCGGGCCGCGGGGGCGTTGACCCCCGGAACTCTCTCCAGGTAAACTCCAGGTATACACAAGTATATTAAATATATTTTCTTAAAATTTTGAAATAAAATGCGATCACAGGTGAATTTTTTTTTTTAGAGATTCTCCCGGCCCGGACCTCATAGGTGAAACAAACTAAAAAAAATATATATTTTTTTATTATATAAAAAATAATGTATAAAATTATTATATAAATATTTTCCGAGACAGTTAAAATACAAGCTTACGATTCTATCATCATCTTTTTCTCCAAAATTCTTAGATTAGTACCATTGTATTTGGATTGTAAGATTGTTCTTTGAGAAGGTCCATTCTTCTTGGTCTGTGTGTGCCAGACGTAAATCTGAAAAATAATCAATTATACATTTACATAATTGCATAGGAAGAGTAAAGTAATGACTTAAAGTTGTTGATTCTTGTTGATATACATCAAGTTGTTAACCCTTGTTAATATACATGAAGTTAACCCTTGTTAATAAACGTGTTGTTGTCCCTTGTTAATATACAACTATACTCTAGGCTTAGTATACAACTATACTCTAGGCTTAGTATACAACTATACTCTAGGCTTAATATACAACTATACTCTAGACTTAGTATACAACTATATTCTAGGCTTAGTATACAACTATACTCTAGACTTAGTATACAACTATACTCTGGACTTAATATACAACTATACTCTGGACTTAATATACAACTATACTCTAGACTTAGCAAGCGAGCATACACTATGTCACAGTTATTATTATTCCAATAATTATTATTATTATTATTATTTACTTGTCAACAACAACAACAACAAAAATTCGTTGCCAAAGATATTTGAACGTATTAAGGGTATATTAAGGGTATATTAAGGGTATATTAAGGGTTGATGAATTCGAAAATGTCAATACCACACAAAACGGCTCCAGTTTGGGGAATATTGTATATGCCTTCTCATATGCCTTCTCTAGATCGAAAAAGACCACTAGGACACAGTGGTTGCTAACAAAGGCATTTCAAATATATGTATTTTGCAAAGGCCAATATGGCCTTTGCGAAAGCCATGTTGGCGAGAGTAAAGGCTATTGTGTGTCTCTAAGAACCACATCAGATGTCTATTCACCAACTGTTCCCTCACCTTGCAGACCACACTGGTCAGGGAAATGGGACAATAGTGAGAAGCGTCAAGCCCTGAGGCACCAGGTTTGCGAAATGGTAGTACAATAGCCGATTTCCAGTGTTGTGGGAGAACCCCACGTTCCCAAATTAGATTGAAAAGACGTAAAAGAACAGGAAGGGCTGTAGAATGGAGATGGTGTAGCATAATGATGTGGATATCGTCAGGTCCCGGTGCCGACGGCCGGCACATGGAAAGCGTGGACTCCAACTCTAGAAGAGTAAAAGGTACATTATATGGCTCCAATACATTGGAGGAGAAATCTATATCGTGCACATAGGGGAAGACAAGGCAATGGAAGACACGTAGTCTTGCCAACAAGTGCATTTAGCATCGCGTTGACGCGGCAAGCAGCTGCCCTTGCCTGCTTAAAATCCAACAGACGGTCCACAGTACAGTTGTATCGATAACGGCCCCATGCAGCACGTTTTAAATGCACTTCGCGGGCGTGCGTAGGAGACCACCAAGGTACGCATGTCTGAGAATGTCTACCTGAGGTTTGGGGGAAAGAACAAGTTGCCACAGACAAGACCAAGGTCGAAAATTGGTGCGCCAGTTCATCAACAGACGACGAAAGGGAGTCCTTGCAACACATAGTAGGACGGGAGTATAACTCCTGATCTGCTCAGGCAAATTGCCAACGAAGGTTACGAAACGGTCGGGTATATGTAGCAGAAGTAAGGAGGATAGGAAAGTGATCACCATCATGTAAATCTGGAAGAGCAGACCACATGAAATCAAGTGCAGTGCGTGAGGAACAGACGGAAAGATCAATGAAGGAGAGAGACTGAGTGCGAGAGTCAAAATAGGTAGGAGCACCTGTATTTAAAATATGAAGAGGGAGAGAAGTGAGAAAAGTCTCCAACTGATCACCATGAGAGTCACAGTGGGATCCTCCCCACAGGTGATGGTGAGCGTTAAGTCACCCAACAGCAAGATGGGCGGCAGTAGAGAAGTAATTAAAAACGCAATATCAGAGAGACAGAATGCACCAGAGGTAGAAAGATAGAAAGAGTAAACTGTAATCCATCTGTGTAAATAAATCCGAGCTGCAGTATAATGCAGTGGGGAACGAATAAAAGCTTGCTGATACTGTATATCAACGCACACAAGAAGCGTGCTTTCATTAAGTGATTCGTCAGGTAAAGGATCTTAAGAATATAATAGCATGTAACCCAAAATGGGGCGAATGACAGCAGCACGAATTTTGAGTTCTTGCAACCCAACACATACTGGGGACAACTGGGAGAGCAACACTTGGAGTTCTCCTCGATTGCCCCTAAGATCACGAATATTCCATTGTGAAAAAGACATTATGTACAGAAATAAAGTTGGCAACAATAAGAAATGATAAAACCTATGGACTATTAGGATACTTAAAGTCAACATGTGGTGGTAATGGTAAGCGTGTAAGCAAGGAAGAATGTGAATGTTGCGGAGGAATAGATTGTTGCGAGGATTGTGAAGTAAGAGTAGAGGGAGTCCCGTTGTCCGTCAGGGGTGTCATCTCTGCAATATAGCAGGAAATAGTGTCTAACGTCTCAATCGTTAAGGAAGCTGACGATGCCATGATGTCAGAGACAGGAGAAGCATTGCAAAGAAAGGTCAAAGGAACTACAGAGGTGACCAAAGAGGTCTGAGGGGGGCAGGGAGTATGAACCTGGAGAGATGCGTCGGCTGGTGTAGAAGAGGCCTGCAGTGTAACAGGAGAGGAAGGAGGCTGGAGGACAACTATGGAGGAAGACAGGGGGGGAGAACAGGAGAAGAAAGAACTACACGAGGGGGAGGGTAAACCTCTACCTTCGTGTGAGAGCTGGAAAGAGGGTGAGAACGAGGCTCCGATGTGGGAGATATATTTTTTGCAGGTGATGGATGAGAAGTGCAGGTCTGCGAGGTTTCGTAGATTGCGTAGATTGAGAAGCAAGCGAGTGAGATGAAGAAGGAGGAGGAGGAAGTGGTGCGGAGGTAGGAGTGTCAGAGGATAAAACTGCAAAAGAATTAGAAACTGGGGTGACCCCAGAAGACACAGACATAGAGGGACAGAGGCAGGAGAACTGTTGAGGTTGTAGGACTTCGAGCTACTCAAGTATACAGGACACAAGAGCTGAGAGACAACCATAGTGTAAGTGAGGCCCTCAATTACACTATATATACATAGTGCTTTACACTATATATACATAGTGCATTTTTTTTTAAATTTGCATGAAAAATGACTTCCACAATTACCTTTGTACATTTATCTGCCTTAAATTCAATTTCTTCAGGTTCAATTTTAAGGCTTCTTAGAAAACCATCTTCTTCATATCCAGCTTTGTAGGGCATTTCTGCATTCTGCATCTGTCAACAAATATTTGTCAATATTTTCACTATATACATCTGAAAGACACTTGCACAGTAACACCTCATTATTATTATTATTGTAATTATTATTATCATTAGTTTTATTATTAATAATATATTGTCATCATCATAAGGAGGCGCAAAACACATAGGGGCCACATGAAGCTCAAAAAGGTAGGTAACTACGTTTTATCCCCCCAAAAAAGAAGGTAACTACAGTTAATTGGATCAAGAGCCCTCACAGGCATTAAGACACCTTCCATAAAAGAAATCCCACCTCACTGATGAAGGCTTATAGAACCAACGAAATTTCTCGTCAAGACGGAACGCGACAGTAGCACCACAAGAGTTTAGTTCACTACCCATCACCACCTTCAACAATGTGCTTCTTGTTGTGAGAGCCTCTTGCTTGTGCACCTCACTGGTTATAATAATACTGATAATGTTTCTTACATGACTCTTACAGCGTCGTACAGTTGTCCTGGGTAGAACATAATCTGCATATACACAATCAGGAGAGGTGTAGGGTAATGTTTATAACTTGTCTTCATACCAAGTCTCGTGTATTTTTATACCAAGTCTCGTGAATTTTTATACCAAGTCTTGTGTATTTTTATACCAAGTCTCGTGTATTTTTATACCAAGTCTAGTGTATTTTTATACCAAGTCTCGTGTATTTTTATACCAAGTCTAGTGTATTTTTATACCAAGTCTCGTGTATTTTTATACCAAGTCTTGTGTATTTTTATACCAAGTCTCGTGTATTTTTATACCAAGTCTTGTGTATTTTTATACCAAGTCTTGTGTATTTTTATACCAAGTCTTGTGTATTTTTATACCAAGTCTTGTGTATTTTTATACCAAGTCTTGTGTATTTTTATACCAAGTCTTGTGTATTTTTATACCAAGTCTTGTGTATTTTTATACCAAGTCTTGTGTATTTTTATACCAAGTCTCGTGAATTTTTATACCAAGTCTTGTGTATTTTTATACCAAGTCTTGTGTATTTTTATACCAAGTCTCATGTATTTTTATACCAAGTCTCGTGTATTTTTATACCAAGTCTCGTGTATTTTTATACCAAGTCTCGTGTATTTTTATACCAAGTCTTGTGTATTTTTATACCAAGTCTTGTGTATTTTTATACCAAGTCTTGTGTATTTTTATACCAAGTCTTGTGTATTTTTTATACCAAGTCTTGTGTATTTTTATACCAAGTCTCGTGTATTTTTATACCAAGTCTTGTGTATTTTTATACCAAGTCTCGTGAATTTTTATACCAAGTCTTGTGTATTTTTATACCAAGTCTTGTGTATTTTTATACCAAGTCTCGTGTATTTTATACCAAGTCTTGTGTATTTTTATACCAAGTCTTGTGTATTTTTATACCAAGTCTTGTGTATTTTTATACCAAGTCTTGTGTATTTTTATACCAAGTCTTGTGTATTTTTATACCAAGTCTCGTGTATTTTTATACCAAGTCTTGTGTATTTTTATACCAAGTCTCGTGTATTTTTATACCAAGTCTCGTGTATTTTTATACCAAGTCTTGTGTATTTTTATACCAAGTCTCGTGTATTTTTATACCAAGTCTTGTGTATTTTTACACCAAGTCTTGTGTATTTTTAACCCAAATTTAACACCATGGAACTGAGAAAACCCACATGAAGGAAAAAACACAATGTAAAATGTAACTGTCTATTTCGATCTCCGTTTAACATCCTAATATTGACATTCTCTCCTCGTGTGTTTGCTGAATTTATCAACAAGTGTCGACTGCACTTTCACGTTCCATAATAGACAACTTGATTTATTCAACAACATTTAGTCACACAAGAGTATATTTTCTTTCCAATAAGTGACGAAATTAATCACAACCTAAAAATATATTTTATTTCACTGCAGTTGCCTTCTTAAGCTAAACCTGATGACGTTGAAGAATGACTACGAGCAACATGATAGCAAGGTTAGTTAAGGTTCGTCGGGAAACAGGACAAGTGTTTCCTGACGCTGGTCTTAGATGAAGACCAGCAATTGGAGCTTTTCGTCATCTGACCGAGGCCTTCCACTGGCTTACCGGTCCACCCCTTTAAAAATTATCGTCATAGTTATAACCATTTATTTTTTTGTGATAGCAACGTACCAAATACAGATAGGAATTGATAGGGTGCGCAGGGAAAGCTTGTTCGAGAGGTAAGAACAGAAAGATGACGGTTCAGCTGGAAGTTGAAAAGACAAGTTACATGGATGTTAAGAAGTGTTTCTTCAGCCTCAGAGTGATCGGGAAATGGAACGACCAGGACTGTGGAGTGGCAGAGGTAGAAGCCATGCATATAGTCTTAACATGAGGAACAATAAGGCTCTCAAAGCCAGAAGACTGTGAATTCAGTTGCGACCATTGATGAGGCAGTGCCAGGCTCTGAGACTCGTCCCCTGCAACCACATTTAGGAGAGTACATATTTTTGAAAACACACACACATACACACACACACACACTTTGATTGCATTTTCTTGGGCTGCAAGAAGGCGTTTGACAAAGTTCCACACAAGAGATTAGTGCAAAAACTGGAGGACCAGGCAGGGATAACAGGGAAGGCACTACAAAGGATCAGGGAATACTTGTCAGGAAAACAGCAGCGAGTCATGGTACGTGGCGAGGTGTCAGAGTGGGCACCTGTGACCAGCGGGGTCCCACAGGGGTCAGTCCTAGGACCAGTGCTATTTCTGGTATTTGTGAACGACATGACGGAAGGAATAGACTCCGAAGTGTTCCTGTTTGCAGATGACATGAAGTTGATGAGAAGAATTCATTCGATCGAAGACCAGGCAGAACTACAAAGGGATCTGGACAGGCTGCAGACCTGGTCCAGCAATTGGCTCCTGGAGTTCAACCCCACCAAGTGCAAAGTCATGAAGATTGGGGAGGGGCAAAGAAGACCGCAGACGGAGTACAGCCTAGGGGGCCAGAGACTACAAACCTCGCTCAAGGAAAAAGATCTCGGGGTGAGTATAACACCAGGCACATCTCCTGAAGCGTACATCACCCAAATAACTGCTGCAGCATATGGGCACCTAGCAAACCTCAGAACAGCATTCCGACATATTAATAAGGAATCGTTCAGGACCCTATACACTATGTACATTAGGCGCATATTGGAGTATGCGGCACCAGTTTGGAACCCACACCTAGCCAAGCACGTAAAGAAACTAGAGAAAGTGCAAAGGTTTGCAACAAGACTAGTCCCAGAGCTAAGAGGTATGTCCTACGAAGAGAGGTTAAGGGAAATCAACCTGACGACACTGGAGGACAGGAGAGATAGGGAGAACATGATAACGACATACAAAATACTGAGAGGAATTGACAAGGTGGACAAAGACAGGATGTTCCAGAGATGGGACACAGCAACAAGGGGACACAGTTGGAAGTTGAAGACACAGATGAAACACATGGATGTTAGGAAGTATTTCTTCAGCCAGAGAGTAGTCAGGAAGTGGAATAGTTTGGGAAGTGATGTAGTGGAGGTGTCAGCATAGTTGCTGATCCCCTACATGTGTTGTATATCTTACCTGTGTATCATAGTACCATCCACATGTTTTACATACACGACCCCTTTGCTGGACCTAGTGACTGTTTGTATGACGTCGCAGGATGTGGTATGAGTGCGTGGGACGTGCTACCTCACTCTCAGTCCACGCATAGGTCTACCAGGCAACACACGGCAGGTTGGGCTCCCTTTTCTCATACTCTGCAATGTAGTGTTACCATCCAATAAATGTGTTTATCTTCAACCTTCGTTATCTCCTTCGAACCCCCACAACAAATGGTGGCAGTGGTGGGATGTAATTCTGACGATTACAGCAATTTCTGGAGATAAATTTCTACTGAGCCGGTTGCCATCCTGTGACGCTAGGCCTGCCAAGACGGTGACGCTCAACAATCCCAAGCCAGCTACCCCAAGCAAGCTTTCACCAGCCTATTGCTTCACTTACTGGTCAGTCTCTGTGTATTAGCATTTCATTTGCTTATTTGCATTACTTCCGAGGGGTTGACCTGGGTTTGCAAAGTAAGCCATGCCACCAAGCCAGTCTGTGGGGGGGGGAGTCCAGCCCAGCCCTACACCATACCACACTTGCCTGCTAAGCCAGCTTTCCACCCCTGCTGTGCTCATCATTACAAGTTATCAAGCCAGTCTGTGTGAAGGGTTAAGCCAAGCCAGCCAGCAACTAACCCAGGTGACTAACCCAGTACTCAAGCAAGCCACATGGGTACAGTCTTCTTCATCACTTTGTCCTTCTAGTTCTGGCTGTTCTGAGTGCTTTATCATCCCTGTGGTGTTGTGGTATTTTGTGGGTTTTTAAGCCAGCCCGGCTTAGAATATTTTCGTGCCTAGTGCAGGTGTCCCCAGAGTGGCTTATGCCCTTCATCCCATAGACCCAGTCACCACGCGGTGTCTCGCCGCCCTGCCTCAAGCACTAGCCCACCTCGCCCACTACCACTGTTTTTTTTTTACCCTTATCACGGGTTCTACCACCATATTTTATGGACCACAGAGAGGGTCAAGAGACAAGAGTATTCCTTTGACCCTGTGCGCCATTGTAAAAGCCTCCTGTGTTTGTCCATCGTTGATTTAAGTGCAAATTCATCGAGCCGTCAACGTGTTGTGGGTAGCAGTGAATGCCGCCAGCCACCAGACTCCAACTTCTACCTACCTTCACTACCATCTCTCTCATTCTCCACCAACGTCATTACAGTGATCATATAGAGACATTTGCGAGTGTTGAGACAATTTTCTTGACTGATTTCTTAGTGACATTCAGTGACTCTTGATCAGTGTTCATTATATCTTGTTTGCAATATTTTTTTCTCTTTCATCAGTGTTAATTTTCGTGCTTTATTTATGTCTGTTGTGTTGTGTTTATTTTTTATATATATACTTGAAGTAAGTACTTTAATGTTTTTCCTTGTTGTGTGCAATATATAAGCAGTATAACCTTG